CCTGAAGCAGTATCAAGTGAACCTACACGTGACTGCCCTTCACATTTGCTTTCCACTCTCATTTGCTGTAGATTCTGCAGAAGGCTCTGTGCTGAGCCAACTGAACTTGGATTGCTGTCTGGAGAGCTTTTGGAAATATATGCTCAGAGACAGCACTCAAAAAAATTCATCAAAAATGGGAGACAGGATGACAAACTGCAAATTCAAAGGGTTTATTTATGTCTTTATAACCTAAGCATGCAGCAGTATTAAGCCGTGAACAGATTGCTTTGGCCCAGACTCCAACTTGACCTTCAGGGTAATTATGGAACCCTGTTGCTGCCTAAAGGTTTTAATCACTGGCCCCCCAAGCCCCACCATATTTCCTCTTTGCCATTTTGGTTATGTTTAGCTGTCCAGGAATTCTCTGGCCATTGACTGAATGCTACCCATCTTTCAGATCCACCTCAATGTTTACCTCCCCAGACAGAGCCCACATTTATAATACTTGCCTTTGAACTCCTAAAAACATGATTTCCTAAATTATGTATTTGCTTTTACCTTTAACTGCTGTGCATTTTCTTTTCATATACATAAACCCCATCCTTCCACAGAACTATTTTTTCTTAAGGGCCAGAAACACATTCTTCACTTCTTTGTATTCCTCACAGAACCTCAAATTCTTCCCTATAACTACTAGAAGCACAGCAGACACTCAATTATCAATTGATTACATTAAAAGACCTCTATCCATATGTATCAGATATGTACCTGGTTAAAATTGGAAAAAAACAAGAAGGTGCATAAATCAGTAAATAAAGAAAAAAAAAATGTAAAAGCTCCTACAATGGTGTGCTTTTTTTTCTCCTAAAGTTTCCCTGCTTCTGCTGGTATCCAAGATCAGAATCCTATCACTTTTTGGAGGACCTGTAGGTGCCCAGAATATAAAAGGAATATGTGAGACATCAGGTAATTGATGCTTTTTCTATTAGAATAACACTAACAAAAATGATAAATTCATCCATGACCCTGACCTCCAAGGGCTATCACTCAAAAAAAGAAAGCTAAAAGAATGGGCCACAAAGGAAATGTGATTGTCACTTTTATAACTTTTTCAAATGCCTCTCCTGGAAAGTAATTTCTAATGGGTAGTTTAAGGTGAGAAAGGAGATGAGGGAAATTGCTAACTAGGGGCAGGGAGAGCCCCATTAGAGGTTCATCTAGTTGGCCAGGGAATGGGGAAGGATGCATCCCATGGAGGTCCCTTGGACCTCATGAAGAGGAATTGACATACGGTGAGCTTTCATATGCTAGGGGTGAGAGAAAGTTGAGGTGGATTCTCAGTAATGAAAACTGGGCCTGGTAATGATTGCCCTTTGTGCTGGGGAGACAGAATCTTTGTCTACCTAGGACACTGGAACTCTGGCTTGCAGCCTCTGACATCAGCATAAATCACAGTACCAGAAGCGGGAGTATCTGGGGTTTCGGGCAATTAGAAATCGGTTTATCCTTTTTCTTCCATTAGATTATATCCACTTAACGAGTAGGGACTCTACTTCTATGCCTCAGTTTCTGCCTAACCTATCACAGTGTGTGTGTGTGTGTGTGTGTGTGTGTGTGTGTGTGTGTGTTTTAATTAGTAGATAGTTGTAACCCTGCAAAAGTTTATTGCTGTAAGCCACTTCTGTCAATGACAATGTTATATTTAGGGTGGTTCCATAGTGGCAGTGGTCACAGAAGAGACTGGTGTTTAAAATACAAAACCTCAGGCAGTAAGGAGAATAAAATATTATTTCAGAGCTGGGTATTTACAGTGAAGCTGTAGGGCCAAAAAAGTGGCACTAGGATGAGCACGCCTCAGCAGTGCTTCTAGTATCCAACAGGACTAGGTTACAACCCATTAGCGACTCATGGGATCTACTTAGAAGGCTACATCCAGATTTAAAAATAAATAAATGTAACAGCATATTAATTTAAAATATGTCTCAGGTGAAACAGAACAGAAAAATAGTAGAATACATTGCCACAATATAAAAGCATCAGTTGTGAACTTTTGTTTATATGAAAGTATACCCTGATTCATTATTTAAAGATGTATTTCTTAATGTCGGTCATGGTCAAAAAAGTTTAAAACCCACTGACTTAAAAAATCATGAGGCTTTCCTTGATTTAATTGGGTAATAGTAGTTAAGAGATATGCTTTAATGGATTGTGTGCCTACTTTCTCCTTGTGGAAAATATTTTTAAAAGACATATTAACTACTAAGCAAAGAGAAAGCAGTCTCAGAAGAAAGTGGAAGTGTGAGCAAAGGCTCTGTCCTGGAGAAGATGCAGGCAGATGGAGGGAGACAGATGATAAGAAAGCAACCTCCCTGTGGGATCCAGGTGGGATCCAGCCATTACGGAGTTGCCTAGGATAGCAAGCTATTGGGAACAGCTTAAATGACTCACAAATAGAAGCTCAGATAAGTAAATTAAAGTACATTTCCAACAATTATACATGAAGGTATGGATCTACATTTACTGGTTTAGAAAGATGGGTGTGACATATTGTTGCATTAAAAATAAAAGTAGATTACAAAAGTAGTATGGTAGAAGATGATTGTATTTATATACAATTATGCAATTGTAAGTGTGTTTGTGAAGAAATAAATAACTGGTAAGATGTTTGCCAAAATATTAAGGATGTTTCTCTCTCCAGGTGGAGTTTCAGTGCATTTTTTAATGCCTCCTTTCTTTTCCTGTTTAAATCGAAGAAGTATCAATTTTATAATTACACATACATACATAGTTTTTGAAAAAAAATCAAAGAAGAATATTGTAATGGAGTATCTGTAATGTGCAGTGGGAGTGTTTAGAGGTGACTATTGGAAAAGGATTGGGGAAGAGCTGTCTCAGAAACTGTCTTGAAAGAAAAGACTCTGTTAGGCCAAATGGGGAACTCAGGTGGGAGCAACTGCATAAACAAGTGAGTGAAGGTGTAAGGGTGTGACATAGGGTGCATCTCTGTCTGGGGTACACATGTACATGATAATTTTCCAAGAATAGATTAAGAACAGTGTTTGTAAGCTAAGACAACCATCTCAGATAAACCTGAAGTTGGTGGAAGACTGCAGAAGGACTTTAAGCAGAAGAGTATCAAGCAGGTGCTGTTAGTGTCCCATTTCCCACTGCCATCTCCATCCTCTGCCTGCCAGTGGCACCTGCAGTTCCCAGCCCAAGACCTTTCTCAGGCTACCAGAGTGTACATGCAGAACAGGTCAGCAGTGCCAGGGAATTAACGTGCCAGGAGCAGCCCTCAGCTAAATATGAACCAATGAGTGGGTGGATAAATACCCCAGCTTTCTTGCCTCTTGGATGAAGGAACTCAAACATGTTCTATACAGTCTTCCAGATGTGTGTGGTGGAATTGAACCCCTGTGCCTATGGCAGTAATTTGTTCCTTAGTGCATGACTTTTGGCTTTCTTTCTTTCCCTCATTCATATTCCCTGGCTCATTCTGGGGCTTCCTGGAATCATCTCCCATATGAAATACTCCTACTCTCAATCTTTCACTCCGAGTCAACTCTTTGGGGGATCCAACCTAAGGCACCAGCTTGTGTTGTATAAATCTGTTTCTGTATGAACATCAAAGCAACTAGTGGTTGTCTCTGGGTGGTGGAATTTTAAGTGGTTTTTCTCTTTTGCTCTTAATTTTTGCTTTATAAAGTGTCAACAATTTCTTTCATTACTCTTGTAACAAGATTAAAACCAAGTTATTTTTTAAATGCATATTTAATTTATAGCATGGAACTCGTTGAGATGGCCACTGAATTAATTCAGGTGAGAGATAATAAAAATAAAAACTTAAACCATAGAAGAAGAAATAGAGAAGAAAGGTCAAATCTGAGAATTCTTGAGATGGGAAAGGGGAAGAAGAGCCAGAGGAGCTAAGAACCCACATGCCGTGGGGAACAAATACTTCAGCAAATACTGATGATGTACAAGAAGAAACATGTGAATAGAGGATGATCATTTTAGTTGGGACTCACTGAGTGTGAGTTCTTTTGAATGATTCAGGTAAATTAGAAATATGAGTATGGATGGAAAGTTGAATGAGAGATGGGGAACTGGAAGTTACAGGTATGTATGTATTAGAAGAATCATTGAGGTGTTGAAGATTGTCTTGGGAAGTGTACAGAGTGAAAATGAAGCAACATGAGAACACTATCCTGGGAACATCAGTGTTTATGTTCTGGGAAAAAGATGAGGTACTATTAAAGAAGACTAAGACGAAATGATCATGGCTGTAGGAAAAGAACCAGGAGACAGAGGTAGCAAGTTAAAGGATCACTGGGAACATTTTTCTCTCAGATGCTTTCACAAGAGTGAGTGCAGGTGGACTGACCTACCCCAGGCCACTGCTCTGTCTTCTTCCCCATCGTCACTGGTCCTGTTTGATCTGTTCCCACATAGGCTTGGTCCCGCTTGCTTTGCCTTGGTAATTCCCAGAGCAAAGCAGGGAGTTTTAAGAGAAACAATTCCATGCCACCAAATTACTGCCAAAAAAAAAATGCAGTAATTTTTTTCTAATTACTGACAAATAGACACCACAAGCATCCCTGAGCTTTGCATCATCTCTAAATAGTGTCGAAACAATTAAGCAAGAAGACCATTGGACTGAGGTAGGTCCAGTGATGCCATAGCCTGCTTAAGCACACCAATACCCAAGTTCAGAGTCAATGCATTTAACAGTACTAGTCACAAACAGCTAAGCAGGCTTTCCCAAATAAGGCAACTGCTTAAGCTTTAGCCAATCAAATGATTTCCTTGCTTGCTTCCTGGTCTTCTCAGTGAAAACCTTTCCCTTGGCACCTGTCAGTAGGCCACTCCTAACCACTTTCAGCTTGCTGCTGCCCAATTTGAATCAATGTATCTCATATAAACTCTTGAAAATGTTTAATGTGTCTGTGTATCTTTTCAGCAGGATGTGGAAGGAAGTGATACCTGTTTAAAAACAACTGAACATTGGACACCAGAAAAGAAGCGGAACGCGGTTGAGCTGGGGCAGGTTTCCCCGCCGGATCGAAAGGCAGAGTGCACCGAGTGTCGCTGGAGCAGCGCCTCCGTGTCACCTGCTCTCGCGACATGGCCTTCAACTTTGGGGCTCCCTCGGGCACCTCGGGCACCGCTGCAGCCTCCGCGGCCCCCGTGGGTGGATTCGGAGGATTTGGGACAACATCTACCACAGCAGGTTCTGCATTCAGCTTTTCTGCTCCAACTAACACAGGCACTACAGGACTCTTTGGTGGCACTCAGAACAAGGGTTTTGGATTTGGTACTGGAATTGGCACAACTGGAACTAGTACTGGTTTGGGAATTGGACTGGGATTTGGAGGATTTAACACACAGCAGCAGCAGACTACATTAGGTGGTGTCTTCAGTCAGCCTGCACAAGCTCCTACCCAGTCCAACCAACTGATAAATACTGCAAGAGCTCTTTCTGCTCCAATGCTATTGGGAGATGAGAGAGATGCTATTCTGGCAAAATGGAATCAGCTTCAGGCCTTCTGGGGAACAGGAAAAGGATACTTTAACAATAACATTCCACCAGTGGAATTCACGCAAGAAAATCCTTTTTGCCGATTTAAGGCAGTAGGTTATAGTTGTATGCCCAATAACAAAGAGGAAGATGGGCTAGTGGTTTTAGTTTTCAACAAAAAAGAAACAGATATTCGAAGCAAGCAACAGCAATTGGTAGAATCATTGCATAAAATTTTGGGAGGAAACCAGACCCTTACTGTAAATGTAGAAGGTATTAAAACATTGCCAGATGATCAGACGGAAGTGGTCATTTATGTTGTTGAGCATTCTCCAAATGGTACTTCAAGAAGAGTCCCAGCTACAACATTATATGTCCATTTTGAACAAACCAATATAAAAACACAGTTGCAGCAACTTGGTGTAACCCTTTCTATGACTAGAACAGAACTTTCTCCTGCACAGATCAAACAGCTTTTACAGAATCCTCCTGCTGGTGTTGATCCTATTATCTGGGAACAAGCCAAGGTGGATAACCCTGATTCTGAAAAGTTAATTCCTGTACCAATGGTGGGTTTCAAAGAACTTCTTCTAAAACTGAAGGTTCAAGATCAGATGACTAAGCAGCATCAAACCATATTAGATATATCTGAAGATATTAGTGAATTACAGAAGAATCAAACTACAACTATGGCCAAAATTGCACATTACAAGAGGAAACTCATGGACCTTTCCCACAGAACCTTACAGGTCCTAATCAAACAGGAAATTCAGAGGAAGAGTGGGTATGCCATCCAGGCTGATGAAGAGCAGTTGCGAGTTCAACTAGATACAATTCAGTGTGAACTAAACGCACCTACTCAGTTTAAGGGCCGACTAAATGAACTGATGTCTCAAATCAGAATGCAGAATCAGTTTGGGGCAGTCAAATCGAAAGAAAGATACAACATAGATGCAGATCTGTTACAAGAAATCAAGCAGCATTTGAAACAACAACAGGAAGGCCTTAGCCACTTGATCAGCATCATAAAAGATGATCTAGAAGATATAAAGTTGGTAGAACATGGATTGAATGAAACTATCCACATCAGAGGTGGTGTATTTAGTTGACATTTCACAAACTTTTGTCAAAGGTGTGAAAAATATGTCTTCTTGCTACCTCAGGCCTTCCTTAAGTATGAAACTGACTACATAGAGGAAAAAGAAAAATCTTCTCCTAGCTTTCTTTTCCGAGGAGGTTACTGACCAATTATTGTTCATCATATCTGAAATAAGTCATTTCTTAGCTCTTCAAAGATAGCTTTTAAAAGATTTATATCTAAAAGCTGTTCTTCTTTAAAGGGAAGTACATAATTACCAAAAATATGTACTACTGTACAACAGCATTGTTCTCAGAAATAAGTGTTTAATGCTTATTCTCCATTGAGCCTGTGTTCTGCTTTCCATAGCAAACACGAAATATCTACTTTGCACCTAACGAAATAAACTACTTGGCTGTTGGGGGTTTGTACTTCAAAATGTAAATGTATGTCAGTTTATATATTTGTGAATTCATCTGTGGGAGGAGTAAAGATAATCCCAGTGTATTTAATGATTAATGTGGTTTTGTTTCCATTCTAAAATATTTGAGAATATATTTTTATATTATTTTACTTATTTGAACTTACAGAATACACCTAAGCAGTTAGGGTATAACAAAATTACATTTTATCATTTTAGCAATTTTTTTGTTTAAACCTTTTTATTTCTTAAAGATGAAAACTCTAAATAAATTCTTGATTATCATTAAAAAACTGAATATTTAATAATATGTATTTTTTAAAATCTTGCTTCACAATGTTTCTACATGGAGTAGAAAACTTAATATTTAAAACTTTCTAATTCTTGGAGGTGTATGTTCTGTCCAATGTAGTTTTAAAAACTACAACATAGAAGAAACAGTTTTGAATAAATATAACTTGAGTGACTTTAAAAAATTATTTTGCTCAGAACACTCAGAAACATAAATCATTAAAAATATTGTAAGGAATTGGATTTTTCTAAATTTGAAGTGGCTCCTAATGATTTAACTTAGCTGGAAGGAAAATGAAATCTTTCTGTCATCTACAGGTTGTTCAGCCAGGGAAGGTAAAAGGCACACACAGAGAAAGACAGAAGTCTGATGCTCACGAGAAGTGATGATCTTTTCTAAAATGAAGTTCCAGCTGAAATGTAAGAAGTCAGCTAGAGGCAATGATTCCAAGAATTTTTAAATAAGGCATTGGAGAGGAGTGATAGAGATGCAAATTTCAAGCTGTCTGTACAGCTTCAACCCAGCAGAGATTTAGAGTGAAGAGAAACTATTTCTTCAAGATTTCAGTGCCTGTCCATCTAGAAGTTAAAAAAAAAAGGAGGCAGGAAAAATAGAGATAGCCCAATTTGCAGGAGAGTTTGAACTATGGCCAGAGAAAGCTCAGCCAACTACATTTTCCCTGATCCAGATAAGTGTTTTACCTTGTCCCTGACACCCATCTTCACTTCCTTCCTCAGGTGGGTCTTCAGACAGATCGCCCACCGCCCCTTGGTTTGTGAATCTAAGTGTTTTCTAAGGAATTCTCTCTCAGAGTACGCAGTGTGTAAAGTAAATAAAAATGCACCACACATTCTCTCTTCCTTTATATGTTTGAAATAAACACAGTTCTTTTTCTTTTTAAGGATTTTACTGCAAAACACCGCAGAAGAGCAACTAGGGAATAACAAAAACTAACCGCACTGGCAAAGTCAGTCTTCAAGACATATTCAAATCCTCATTGTCTTTGTCCCTGTCCTGAAGGGAAAAGCCGAGGGAGCTAGCCAGCTTTGGGCCATCAAATATATGCTGTTTTGCTTTAAGAATTAGTCCCATTAAGCCCTACCTGCTAGACAGATGGTTCCCATCCAATGTTTTGCACTATTCCAACTACTGGTTATTGACTCTTATGTCCACTAGTAAAGTGACCTTCCCTGCTGTTTATTAGCTGTTTGTAACCTCTGCCTCTGCCAGGGTGTAAGGCAAGGATCTAGGTATGTTCTGCAGTAGAGTCAAAAATTAGAGCACTGTCTAGAATGAGAAGACAGCCCAAGGGAGGAGGTGGGAACCAAATCTTTTCAGCCACAGAAGGAAGAAAACTAAACACACACACACACGTGCACATACATACATAGTAAAAAGAAAAGAAGTTAAGCTGCAGTTTTTTCTTTTTCTTCCCTTGGACTTTCTCTAATCTGAGGTCATCCCTGTGGGGCCACCTGCAAGTGTCTATGAATATGTCATCCTACATACCAGGAACTCTGATCTGTACTTCTGTCCAACTGCTATTTCCTTCATATTATTAAAAATGTCATAACCCAACAGCCCAGTTTTATTTACTTGTTAATGACTTGCTGGTGCTGTGACTTATTTTTCCTGCTGAGTGAAAAATTGTATAGATCCACATGATTAAGCCATTACTAATAGCTAGCATGTATTGAGCACTTATTGTATACCAGGCATTCTGTTAAGTGTTTCAATAATCCAGTGAGATGGGCTTAGTTATTTCTCCATTTATGCCTGCTGGTAGCTAATAACTGGCCCAAATCAGATTTAGATGTAAGAAGCCTGACCCCACAGCTCCTTCATTCACATTTATCCCTTCCCCGTGACTCCCACAGTTTCCTCTTCTGGGCTTCAGTTTGCCCACTTCCCTCCCTCTATGTCTCAGGACCTCCTGAATTCAGCTGTGGCTCTTTTGCTGCATTCTCTTTATTTGTCCTGTAACATGGTCACCACATGGCTATTTTTCTTGGCTCAGTTTCTATGGTGTCTAGTCAATATCTCGGTCAAATACAGCACACTGCAGTATTTTAAAAAGCCCCTCTACAGCCATCATGCCAGATTTTCCATCTGTAAAGTGGGATTCGGATAGTATCTCTCCCCTGTGGATATTATGAGGATTAAAAAGACAAAATATATGTAATGCTCAGTGCAATGCCTGGCACAATATGAGTCCTAACTACGTTTGTTATTTGCTTAGTAAAATATCCCAGAGGTAATATATTAATTTTGTGGATGTGAAAAATGGAGCATATATGGCAGAATAACTTGGATTAGAAAACACTGTTAGTAACTGGGAGAGCTGGTGGAGCCCGCACCTTCACGTGCATCGCCTCTTGCGGCTCCCGGCGAGAAACTCCCTGCAGACGTCATCAATTGCCCATATTGTTGGATAGCCCATTGCCTTTCTGTTTATGGTTCGGGGCTCACTTTATATTCTGTTAATTTGAAGAACAGAGATCACTTGCATTCCATTTCAGATAATCGAACCCTTAGGTTCACCCTGAGATCACTCAGGGGCTATCAGACCTGGGAGTGGGACAGCAGAGGGAGGGGAGAGAGGAGGCTCCCTCGGATGCTCCCGGGGCGGCATGTCAGCATCCAAGAGCATCAGGAGAGTGCGGCAAAGAGCCTAGAGGCAGAGGTGGGGAGCGTTTGAGGATTTTTCTGCTGGCTGTGTGGTTCACCTGGATGATACGGGCAGCCAGACACCTAGGAGTATGGGAACCCCACTGCCCAGGAAGTAAAACTGTACCAGAGTAACCTGGAAAGATAGAGGAGCTCCCTGCAGCAGAGCTGGGGTTTTCCCAGAGTGGGCAGCTTAGCCAGGATCAGATCTATCCACAAAGAGAACGAGTAGACACCCCATTCCAGGATTAGGGACAGGCTGTTATAAGCAAGAATTACAAGGGAGGAGCACTGTGGAGCAGAGCAGAACAGAGCAAAATCAACTACACTGCTTCCATCTCCTCGGGGAAGTGTGCCCTGGGCAAAAGCTCGAACTGGATTTAAATGCTTGTTTCTAGAAGGTGCTTGGATTAAGCAGGGTTTGCCTTAGGAGAGCCGTTGTCTTTACCTTAAAAACAACTGGCAACATTTCCAGGCAAGGAAGAAAAAAGCAAAAAATACTGCTTCATATAACATTCTCTAAGGCTTAGAGATTCTTTTTAAAGATGAAGAAAGGCAAATTACTTCCTTATTTACATTTATGCTGTCATCCATATACCCAGCAGTAGCTTAAATGTAAGAGGAATTCAGAATAATAGAGTTACAATCCCATGCAATGCCTGATTAAAAATGCAGATTTGAATTTGCCAGTGATCTTCTAGCTAAGCAGAGTAAGCACAGGGAAGCAGAAAAGGTAGCTTGAGGTTGGTTAGATAATTGAAATGACTGTGTGTGTTGAAGGAGGTGAGAAATGGGGAGTCTCGCCTCTAAAGATTAAGGGGAAACTGAGTAAGTCCTGGTGAATCGGGCAGAAAAGTCAAGTTCCCCAGAAGTGTGTTCACAGGGTTTAGGTTTTATTTACATGGACTGAGTCAGTGATGCTTGGAGGAAATCAAGTCAGCATATTCTAACTGAAAACCCACTATGGGCAAGATCATCCTGCTGTGCAATTTCAGGGTAATAAACAAGTGTAAAGAAGATGAGATAACCCTGCAATATAAAAACATAATATACAAAAGTTTAAGAGAGAGAACATATGTATATACCTTGAAGAAAAAAAATTATAGCATGTTAAATACAAAATAATGGTTCACAAGAGAAGTCCTAGGGGACTTTGATTAAGCAGTGGTGAGGTGCTCAGGACAGTTTTGGGAAAAGGTGATGATTATACTGAGTAGGACAGGAATGAAGGAAGGGAAAGGTCATGGCTGAGAGACAACTGCTTTTATAAAATCAGAACAGTATAGGGGCAACATTAGAGGTGACAGCAATATCAGGGGAGCTCTGTTGTGCTGTGTCACCAGTTTCACTCCACTTGTGTCCCCCAACCCCACCCTCTGCCACCTGGGTCCACCCACGGAGCAGGGCCACTGGCTGAGGGGAAAGTCATGCAGCTCGGGGTGCATGAAGCTGGAGGGGGCTTCCTGGGATGGTCTGAGACTGCACTGCTGGGGTGGAGGGGGCAGCCCCTGGTGAGGAGTCATTTATCCTCTTGGTGGGCTGGCACTGAAGATATAGTGCAAAACACCCAATGAGGTGAAAGGCTGGGCGAGCACAGAGACTGCAGGGTCAGGCCTGAGAACAAGGTCCAGCTGGGAGATTCACGAACTCAACTGCAGA